TCAAAAATCAGGAAGTTAGATAATCCCTAAAGGGCACATAAATTGTTACTTTTGTTTAAAAAATTTCGAAGATTAGAGCACTCAAGAATTTATAAATAAATAATAGTAGAAATTTTTTTACTTATATTAACTGTATATGAAAGTATTATTCGTTATTATTAATATTATTTGCATTATTTGTAGAACGAACCAACGAAAATTTATAGAAGATGACTGCAAAAGTAGTAAATGACAAACAAGAAATAAAAGTCTATACTTACTCTGTAGTTACTTTTTTGTTATACGAAGTGGAGTTGGTACTCACAGCGACATGCCATTCGATGCGTCAATACAATTTTGTATCACGTTCCAAATTTAAACAATTCTAACTTTTTCCATAACATACCTATATTACTTATATTTTAAACATAAGAGAGAGAAGCGCACCATTAAAATTAAAGTCAGGTCGTATAAATATTAAATGTTAGTTATAGTGTATTTAGTTAAAACAACACTTGGTAGCATTGCGGCCATCCGCGCATAATGATATCAATTAGTTTATGTCGCCGGACTTAATTTATGTTGGGCCAAACAAACCTCCCTTTAACTTTTCTCATAAATAAACCGCTCACAAAAAATCCAAACAACAACAATGGTTTTCAATGATAAAGCCTCGAATTACTTAACTATATCCCATTCGATATGTCGGCGTTGCGTTATAGATACTCATCAAATTAGTTTCAAAACTAATTAGATAACAATAGATATTTGATCAATCTAGAAAACACTTTTCGATACTCATCTTGGCTGAAGATTAAGATTTTGTTCCAGAAAACTGACTAAAAATCAATATAAAATTAGTAACAAATAAAATAAATAAAAAAATAAATAATTAAAAAATAATTATAAATTAAAAAATTAAAGTAAGACTTATCGACTGAAAAATAATCATCAAAATCGATACAAAATAGTCTGAGCTAATACTATGCATTATCTTATTAATATCTCTAATTCGCATCAAATTTTTATGATTTATTTTTGTTTAATTATAAAAATTCAATCAATCATTGACTTCAATCTCTTTATTTTTACATATGTTATTCTAACGTATAGTAGTAGTAAGTCATATACTTATTTAGGTTTATACTGTAGTACAGTACAGACTAAATTCCCTTATATCTTAACAATGTCAAGTTAGTGTGAAAGCTGATCCTGATCTGGGATTTGGGTACCTTCACGAATTCTTCCGACGATTCGTCCGATTCAGCGCAGATTTGTGTGCGAGATTTTATAGGATTTCACACAACGAATTCTAAAATTACATATTTTCCTCTCTTTTAGTGCGTTCAACGAAGATACATGTGTAATCACAATTAATTACTCATATGATAACAATCCTAAAATCCTAAAAATAATATTAAAATTTGTTTTGTAAAATAGAGGAAAATCTGAAGGAAGACTTTGTACATAGTTTTTTGCAACAGTATTTACCATTTACTGAATTTTTAATTATTAAAATGAGACTAAATTAAAAAATTGAGGCAAAATATTTTAATTTTGCCTCAGTTTTTTTTAATTTCGTCTCTGGTTGCGCTATACATACCTTAATAGCTTATTTAAATTAGGTGGTTGCGTAAATTTCGTAACCCAATTCGAGCCGGATATTTTGATAAATTTAATACTGTTAAATTCTTCGGCTTTGCACGCATTGTACCCAATAACTTCACGTTCCTGTGAGTTTAGTATAATTTTACTTTACGGTAGCAGATACGAAGCTGAGATATAAGAGGCATAATATTCTACTTTGAACAATTTTGTACACAACGCAAATTTGTAAAAAATAGATAATTGGATGATAGTAATTCTTTCACGCTTAAACAGCTGAACGAATTTGTATGAAATTTGGTACTGAGTAGGTTATATTCTATCTTAACATATAGAACACTTTATATATCCACAAATTCAATCGAACAAATCCGCGGTATAAAGCTAGTAGTTTTATAAACACGAAAATTTATTTTTTATTCACGATGGTAGGTAATTTTGTATATTACAGAGATAAAACTCATACTGATTTCAGTAATGGAACGTATCAATAAATAATGCCAGACATATCTACCCGTTTCCAAAAGTAACAGTAACTAGCACTTATAGTTGTCGATTTAGCACGAGTGCGCTGTCCTTTTCAATATAACATTCTAGTTCAATTTAGTAAAATCCATTTTTAAGTGATTTACTTAGTTCTATTTCAATGAAATCCACCAGTATTACAAAAAGATAAAGTAACTCCACCTGTCTTTATCTCTTTAATACAGTACAAATAATATACTTATAAATTTTTAATTAATGGTAGGTATTAATGTTTTCCAAAATGAGACTAAAATTAAAATTCGCCATAAAAATTTTATACAAAACTCTTACCTCCATACCATTCTTGTTTCTAATTGGGATATGGCAGTGGAACGCATAATATTTAATATTTTGTATTAGCGTTAGCCGGCGACTTCGTACCTCCCATGCGTTGTCATTCCTGAGGACTCAGGTGTTATTTCTCTGTATTCTATAATTTCACTGACATATCCCACTCTTCAAACCGAAACAGTCATGCAAACATAACTGCTTCACGGTAGAAACATGAGTGGGACAGAGGCGCCCAAGCAAACGACTTTTGTACAAAGTCTCCCTCTGGTGAACTAAAAGTAAAATAACTGACCGCTTACCATCAGGTTGACCGTATGATTGTTTGCTACCTCAGTGGTATAAAAAAAAACTGAAATACTAAAAATACTAAAAGTGAAGTAACTAGTGTATCAAGATAAAATCCACACTGGATTTTAAATTCAATCTTAAGAAATCGCATCCAATTATATGTAATAATTTTTGTGTGATTCTAAAACAAACATCTACAGACAGACAGAAAATGTGGCTAGGCTTATAAGATCACTTTCAATCAGGTGAAACCTCCAGCTTGACTGCTATTCCATGAAACATAAAAGTATTGCGAAATATTTCTTGCTTCCATAGACAGGCTACAAAAAACCAGTCCACTAAAGAGCACAGAAAAGCTTTTCGGAATTTAAAAATGATGGCACACCAATTCGAAATAGAATAATATACTCGTACGTTTAAATTTTAAGGAAAATGTATTGTTATGATTTGGTGAATAAAGTTCAAAATTGTCCTAAAACCTTTGTGAGCAGCTGACCACGTCATATATAAATTGCTTGGCTTTCCGTTATAACATGAAGTAGCTACAAAGCTTGCGCTCAAATCAATTAGGTGATCCGAAAGCCTCAAGGCTCAGATAAAAGCGACGGTATTTTCCTTTATACTTGCGGTTAAAAGAATTCAATTACATAATACTAAGGAGATTAAAAAGGCTAACACGATTCCTTTGAGATGAAGAGATAGTAGCTATTTAATTATTGGAAACGTTCTTCGTTTTGCAATAGTCTTCACTAATTCAGTTTAGTCTATTCAATAACAAATTAAGTTGACTTTAATCCAAAATTGCATCACATTGGTTGCTAAATTTCATTAAAGAATTAATTGTGTAAAAAAGAAATAAGTAAAAAGTTGACTAAGAGTTCAAATTAAACTAAAGAAATTATTCATCTACACTTTTTGAAGTTCTAATGATTAAAAAATACTCACGATGTATCTAACAGCTTATTTGTTAACAGTTAAGACAATAATATTTTTAAAATATATCAATCTAGCTTTTAACCGTGACTTTGTCCACGTAAACGACATGTGCTGATTGATCAAAACAAAAAGAAGTCTGTCTATCTTCATCCTAAATAGTATTTGCATATCAAATATCATGACGATTGAACCGTTATGGTGCATGAGATAGTAACTAAACAAACTTACCTTTATATTTATAATGATGACAAAGTTTATTAAACTAATATTCAAAAGACTCATCTAGTCATTACTAATTTATAATTCTGTTACCGGTATGTATATAATAGGAAAAGGAAACAATAATTTTTATAATAGCAATACGGTTCTTTAGGAAAAATGTACCTATCCTACTTAACAAGTGACAGTTTCAAAGAAATTCTACTTGGCTTTGTATATTCGGGTAAGGTTATTATAAAATACTTTGGCTTTTATTTTTGAAGTGGGTTTTCTAAGACAACAAAAACAGTCCAAACTCCAATATCGTTGCGAATAATACGATTTAACGAAACTTTCTTTGTAGATCGTGTATTGATTGAAGACATTATAAAGAAATAAATTCTAAAAGAGCTAAGCTATGCCATTAAAACAAGAGACAGTATTAAAGAAAATATGTATTTTCTATTTTATTAATATTTTCATTTGTTTGATAAAAGCTAGGTATTTCTATGTTTCTGTTACTAAATATAATGGCAGAACACGAGGTATTATGATATAGCATTGAAATTGCATTATAGCCGTGTGGTCCCGGCATAGAATAGACCACTCCTTTCTATCCAGTGGGTATCGTAAAAGCCGACTAAGGGAGGATGAGGGATGGGCAGCAGCGTCCTCATTAAAACATCTCTAAAGTCTGATTGCGGCTGCCAATCAGCCTGCCAAGCGTGGCAACCACTAGCGAGGCTTATGTTCAGCAGTGGACAATGAAAGGCTAATATGATGATGATGATGATTTAAATTACGAAGTACGGAGGCAAACATCTTTATTATAGTTTATTTTGTGTTGTTCATGATGCTATGCGTGTTTTAGGCGACAGTTAACACTTTCCACATAACTAGCCGTCAGTTTGTTTGACATTCTATGATGCATACATATATTTTGTTTTCCATATAATAAATAAATATATTTGCGAATCAGCCCATCTAGAAAGGTGTATACGGTCCTATCCTATCGATAGATACGTTTTCGTTGACGCGCATACTACACTAGACGTAACAAATAACGTGTCTACCTATTGACAGATTCGTTTGCCATTAGTCCTCTTGATTCGCTTTATTTTATTTAATTAGGTGTTTATATATTGGATCGAATGTTATCTTTCAATTAAATGAAACAATTAAGTTCAAGTCTTTAAACAACATATTCCTCTATTGTTTGTCTCAATTATCTGCTAATAGCATCATTCTAAGCTCGATAAGGTGTTTCACCCGGAGCAAGGCTCTTCCTTTCAAACGGAAATTCTGGATGATCGTACCAGTTAACGAAATTCCTTAGTCGATAGTTCTTGTTGAATGCCGACAATTCTGCAACCTCTTCAGATGTGAGTTGAAAGTCGAAGATGTCAATGTTTTGTGCAATACGTTCTCGGTTTGTAGACCGTGGTATCGGCACTATATTTCGATCCAGCTGAAATAAAGTTTTGGAGATATTTGATTACGAATGCAATAAAAAAATATTTTAGTGTACATATTGTTTTGCTATTCCCGTGTGCTTCAGGAGATGTAATCTGGTGATTACATGGTCTTCAAACTAAATTAATCCTTATTCGTAAATTGTTTTAATATCTAATAAATGTTCAGTATTTAGTAATATATACCTAGTTGTATACTATATATATATATATAACTATATACGTAATGCTAATGGCTGTTTCCCAGATGAATGTTCGTGTTTGGTTTTTGTGTACCAACAAAAGCATCATATATCGTATACGCGTAGTATTATAGCCAACTTATTGTGTTTAAAATAATATATAATAAACATATAATTTAAAGTTTTAATACAAAAATCTGACTTTAATAATGAGCAAATTAGATAGCAACTTAGGAGTAAATTTTCAACTTAATATATCAGTTAATTATTGGCGAAGGTATGGCGTATTATGTTAGATGATGATAGGTACGATAATTTTGATAACTTTTCTCTTATTATGCTTTTTAATGATATTAATATCAAACAGGAAATTTATTATTTTCTATTCGCTTTTTTAGAAAGTTATTAACGTCTCTGGAAACTAATTTTTCAACCATATTGATTTTTATTGTATGATTATTTTTAAACACTTTGTAAAAATTTACTGTCACGTAACAATTCTTTTAAATCATCAAAACCATTAACAAGGCACTTTTCTATTAATGGTTTCTAATTCATGATAAAATGTGGTGGATTTGGTACAAAAAAAAATTACAAAAATAAGAATGGCCAGCATCTAAAATTTTGTTCTAGATTAATGGTACTTAAATTATAAGGAATTTTGATTAATTTCTATAAAACTTATACAAAAATTATTGTTTTCTTAACATATAGTTCTGTGTTATTGCATAGAGAAAAAAATAAACTACCTTTTTTTTTAAACGGCCATTTTTTTAGTTCAATAGCTATAAAAGCAGCCACATGTAAATATTGGCAACCCTAGACTATGGCTAACTAAGATCAGAGAACCCGGGTGCATTGTATTATATTTTCGTTCATATTTTATTTATTTCAAGGTTCATTAAAAAGTTTTATACCTACAAAAGTAACAACAGTAGGAGTTTTAATCTGTTGATAAGAGCATACTACACTTACCAGATATCTAAGCAATATCTGTGGCACTGTCTTATTATACTTTTCTGCTAAACGCAGTAGCAATGGATGATCGGCGCGAGGTGGTGGTGCATTTGATTTACGTCCAAGTATACCTCCGAACGGACTATACGCCATTACAACCACTTCATGCTCTTTACACCAATCTATCAATTCCATTTCAGTTATCGTTGGATTTATCTGATGAACATATAACAAGAAAAAAAGTAATAAAATAAAATACACATGTTTTTCAAAGAGAAACTTTGTTAAGATATTTGGATATTTGTGTTTGCTGGATTGAGCGTGATTACGTTTAAATGACTTGAAAAAAATTGATACACAGATGTACAACATTTTATATTAACATATACTACATAGAATAATTTGAATCCTAATTCAATAAAATATATGCTATGTTTTCAAGTAAGATTAATGTATATGATATAATCCACACGTACAAAGTTAAGCCAGAGTTAATAAAAATATTTCTTTTATATATTATTATTTAAATACACATAGTACTTAAATTTAGAATTCCAAGTTGAACGCTATCTATATTGAATGTAACATTAAACTAGCCGGTATTAAAAACGGAAATTTTATAGGTAAGGATTGAATCTAATCTAATATCTACCCGATTACGTCCGAGCGTACATAAAAATAAATTACACGGCGAAATTGAGATCCTGCTCGTTTTTATATTATTCTCCCACTAGGCATTGTGTTCTCCAATAACAATCTATAAATAATGTTATGAAACCAAACAAAAGTCTCTTATAAATAAACAAGCAGTCAACCAAAAATTGTTATTGTTCAACAATATATTGAAGGTATTTTCTGGTCGCCAATAAAAAGTTCTTTATTTTCGTCACCAACTTTTATATTTACTTGATATATTTATTACATTTATCAGTTAATAGTGAATTTCAATAAAATTTATAAATGTTTAATAGCTTTTATATTTTTGCGCATAGTTTAACTAACATGTATCTACATTTAGTTCTTTATTTATTTAGTTAATAATGATAAAACACACGAATAAAAGACATAATGTTTCGTAAGCATCGAATAAATGTATATGTAGTTGGAGTGTTTTCCTACAAATACTTCATCAAAAATAGATTAATTTTTTAACCATGTGCGTGTGAATAGTTACCGTAATGTATATTTGTTACTCAGTATATAAAAGCAATTACACTCTAAGGTTGAAGTAAAAAATCAAAGCGATACAATTTTTTTGAATAGATTTAAAAGAACAAGATAAACAGTGTATAATGATTCATAATTTCCATTTATAATTCATAAGTTCTTTGTATAGTAAGCGGCCGTGTGTGTGGGCCAGAATACCGTAACACAGAGTATCCTAGTATGGATTCTGTCCACTTCTAATGGCAGACTATATATATTCGATTTTGTAAAATGCATAAATGAAGTACCGTTGCGATAGAAATTAAATATTATTAATATTATGATGATTAATGATTCTTATTTTTACTGAATATTTTAATTTATATCTGAGTATAGACATAAAATGTCCACCATTTTCATTAATACATGTATATTAATTTGTAAGCAGTACATTCATGGAACATTGATAAAAGAGCGATTACTTTACGTTTTAAAAAAATATATACTAAATTTACTCAGCCAAAAACCAAATGAGCTGATTAAATTTTGATTCGTTTTTGACACTTGAAGCTCGATCTATATAATCTAAGTTCGTAATTTTCCTAAGTATATTGAAAATATTTGAATTTATAACGCGGAATCATATGTCGACATGGATTACGTTTTACAAAAGGCAAGATATGACAAAGAAATAGTGACAAAGAAAACCTACTGCTTTAGAATAAAACCCCACCTATTGAAAAATAATTCCATTCAGAATCGGTAACGTAATCGCATATAATATACAAACAAATTGTAAAACCTCTTTTTTTTCTTTTGTAATTTGCTTAAAAACAAACAATTTTTAGGTAAATTAAAATATAAATAGCAGTGAAGAAGGAACTTAATTTAAAACTGCCACTAGGTGATGAACGGAACGCCGCATAAGTGCACGAACATTCTTGACAGTGAGTGAGATAGGTTATGTGTCTTAGAAAGTTTTTCAATACATAATTTAAAAACAGTTCACGTAATTTAGTTATTACATGTATACCTATCATCAACATTGCAACTGTACATCGTCCAATGACTACTTCTTCTAAAGACTGGCATTAAATAAATAAACTATGGTGCATGAGTAAAATAAAAAATAATTGAGATGAATTCAATAATTTTATGTAAATTATATGAACTAATTAAAAATAATAAGAGTCAGAGACATTAATTGATTTACTTGTAATTTGACAAGCTTAGTGGAATTCAACGTTTTGAACAATAATACGTTTGGACTTGGTTTGTTAATGGTATTTAGTGTCATTGGAGACTTAGCCAAAAATACATTATTTAGTGTAGAGCAGATTTGGATTCAAAATGTTTAACTTCTTAATAATTGTAAGGTAATTTAAAAATATACTCTTATTATTGCTTTCATAATAAGTGAGTTTATAAGAATATAGTAGTCATTAACTTAACTCACCTCGGTTTGTAAAACAGCTGGTTTTATTCTAGCGTTGCTCCACAATCTTTGAATTTGGGTTAAATTAAAATTTGACACCCCTATTGACTTTGTCAGATTTAGCAATTTTGCATCTTCCATACCTTTCCAAGTTTCCAAGTAGTCGGTTGTACTAATAGAGCCATCTTTCTGCAATCGTATTTCAATAAATTACTATGGATAAATATATTTTAAAATACTATATAGCAAACATAAAAATTTCATATTGGATAAAAAAAATTGAGGAGGAAGCAATGTTTATTAAAATAAAATCATTAAAATCTGTTCCCAATTTTATTGATAGAGATGCTGTGATATACGTATATAGTTAATTGCAGTTGAACAAAAGATATAGCGGTTAGTTTAACAACTTGTTAGCAAGGGTAGGCTTATCTTTAAAAGAGATCTCTTCCAGCTAACCCAATGCAGTTAGAGAGAAAATAATTAGTACAGGTCTTTACCTGTACTAATTATTTTCTACAAGATATACAAGGCAAATAGAATACAAATACAATAAACATACAAATTATATATATATATATATATATGCACATAAACATAATAAATAATGATACACATATACAACACATATAATAATAAATATTATTATGTATTATTAGTTAAAAGGTGAGATTTCAATCTTTTCTTGAAGGAAGTAATGAAGGAACTATCCTGAATGATAGAAGATAGCCTGTTGCTTCTATTTAATTCTAAAGTATGTCTTTAGAATTAATTTATCTGTATGAGTGTATTTTATTTAATTATGAATACTTCAGCAATTTCAAATTAATGGCCTAAATTAAAACATCCTAGTTTTGTTCTAATAACATAAGTAGAATCTCTATCAGCAACTAATTATAGACAATGTTCTGTTATATTAAACTCAAAGCGAAGTTTATGACACTGATAGTTGTTTAGTTGCATGCATCCAGTCTAGAGCAACTCACTGCTATGAAATCTTGGGTTCAAGAGGTGAGCGTATCACAAAGCTTTGTGAGCCCCAATTACTTATACAAACATCGTACCTTGTACGCCATCGGATAATGCACTAAGTATAAATCCACGTAGTCCATTTGCAAGTCCTCAAGAGATTTCCTGAGTGCTGGTATTACTTCGGCTCTTTCGTGCGCATCGTTCCAAAGCTTAAATTTCGAGATACGTAAGATAAATATTACAAATTAGCGTGTTGATATGCAAGCTTTGTAAGTAACCATTTTCATTTTATAAGTTTATTATTCATTCAAAATAACCAACTTCATTGTTAGAAAATAGGGATAAGATATTAAACAGCAAAAGGAAAAACATGGAAATTAAATCATGGAGTAATTTGTGTCATACTCGTAGTTACATATACCATTTTACCAGAGAGAGGCTTTGTACAAAAGTCATTTGCTTGGGCACCTCTATCCCATACGTGTTTCTAAAGGTAAGGATGAATAACACCTGAATCCTCAGGAATGGCAACGCATAAGGCATATCTAGGCGAAACAGTATACACTGTTATGTCCATTTTACTGCTCATGTTTATAGACGATGGTTACCACTTCCCATCAAGTGGACCGTCAGCTTGTTTATCATTCTAAGTTATATAAAAAGAAACCTATTAACACCAGAAAAAAATATGCTTCCTTTTTTAAAGTTGCTTCAAAATAGGTTAAAACCATTGCTTTAAGATGATCACAGATCGGTATATTTTATACACGCAGACAATGTGGGTTTCACGAACGCTATTTTATGATATATTGGCGATGTAAGCGAAGCGTTCTGTGCCTCAAAACTCAATTATTAATAAAATAGTTTGTCTATGTCATTGTCTCTGCGTGCGGTCGTTTTTAAACTTATAATCGGCGCAACGGACGCCACGCCCTAGTCTGCACCTAGATGCGATGGACACCACATGTCTATTTATTATCTGTAATTAACGAAAATAAAATCTAAAATAAAATCCAATTGTAAGAGTCTTTGTTTTCTTGCCTTCACCGTGACCTATCATATTCTATACCATACAGGCGACTTAAAAATTAAATCTCTGCATTTCAGATCAATTAAAAAATTCAAAAGCTGTTATTGTGACTGAATACTGTTTTAAATGCTTTATCGTATGTTAATTGCACCTATATATAGCGTCTGCAAAGAGCTTTATACATTTTTATTTTCTTATAGCATGAAATAGTAAACAAGCTTACTACCCGCTAAATGATAAATATTTACCATAGTTTGCAAGACTAGACCACAATTAAACATTTTATAAATAACTCACAACCCGCCTCGACTTTGCATTTGTTTTAATAAAATAGAGTATTATTAGTCATCGATAATGTAGCTTCTACATTTGAAAAATTTTAAAACCGGTTAATTATTTTTTAATATATTATTGTAAACAAAAATATCTGACCTTTTTTCTTTATAATATTAGTGTAAACATTCTAATATCCACTAAAATATTTTTAACTAACCTATTTCTACGAAATTAAGTGGAAACAAGTTAGTTAACTATAACTATTAAGTACAATTGAGACTCAACTTAGTATAATTTTATATCTATAAATTCAAAACTATATTAATGGAATTAAACTCATTCAAACAACTAGACAACAACTATTTAATATTAAATTCGTTCCAACCTATTTTACTAATATAATGAAATTGTAAGTAGACGTTTTCTGTGCATGGAAAATATTTGAGTAAAAGTTAAATGAAGGATAAAGGCAAAACAATATATTTTTTATATCCATATGTCTGTATGTATATACGTGTGTATCACTCAAAAACTATTATACCCAATTGTATCCAATTGTATTTCTGAAAGTCTAACTTATAGAGAATAAAGGTAACCTAACTTTAAATATGGTATATGTTTTATTTTCATGCGCCATCTAGAGAGGTCATTATTATTTTGTATTTCTAAAAATAAATCATCCGAAGTAACGGACTAAAGGCAAGTTTATTTATAAAATTAAATACAGAATACATAGTATTAACAAAATCTAATACAACTCACCTTAGTAGTGATATAGACGTCCTTTCTATCGGCTCCGTTGTCCTTCACAAAGTTATGAACACCAAGACCTACGTCGTCTTCTACGAGATAAAGTGGCGCTGTATCGATATGTCGGTACCCGGCTTCCAGGGCCCATTGTACTGCCCGGGCTAGCGAGTGGTTCGTAGACAACACCCTTGTACCCTGTCGCAGACATGTTAACAACTTTGCTTTATATGAAGTCCAAAATAGATAGAGGTATTTGCCTAGCAACTAATAAAATAGGATGCGCAATCCACAGGCGAAATACAAGTATCAATTTTCAGACTTTCGCGCTGCATATTTTATAAGAGACTGGAATTAATTAGTTATCATAATTTACTTAAATGTTCACGTTAATTTCCGTCTCTTATAAAACGTAAAATATAAGTACTTTGGTAATATTATTAAATGATTTATTACACTTGCTTATTTATGGGATCCTATTACTCAGAAAGAAATCGAAATTATTAGCTTTTATGGAAGTTTTCTTGGTGTAAAATATAAATATTTTTCTCAATAAAGCATAGGTTGAAAAATGCAAAAATAAAGATTCTTGTAATAACTTGGCATTAATAGGACACTCAAAATATTAGGTTTTCGTTTAATAGTTAGCTACCTATTTATAAAGTAATGAATGTAATATTCGAATATAAACGTGACAAAATTATGAAATTCAACTGAAAAATAAGTGTTAGACAGTCAGTAACTGTGCTATATTAATTTTATAATATGATCATATAACATACCCGCACAATTAAGACTACATTAAAAGAAATTTCATTTTATTAATATCATTTAATCGTTTAAGCTACATCACAGATTCTGACATACATGCAAAAACATTATCTTATTTCTTTGTCAATCGGGTGAACGGTAAATTTTTCCGCTACTCGTATTTTTGCTTGAATAATAAAATATTGAACCTAGCGAAATGTCGATCAGTGCCATCGGGTGCCACATACCTATACCCAGTGAATCAGTGTGAAGTGGCATCAAATAATTTATGAAATTCTCTCTAGTACAGATACATGCTTAAAACTTGTATAAATTTTAGATATCTAAGCACAAATTATATTCTTAACACATGATGATGATGATTGCGACGCATGTAATTTAATTCTCTACCAATCTTTTATGTCGCGCAGATGTCGCGCCAACACTGTCAACAATTTTGATGAAAATGATAAAGATTTCAAGCGTCAAAATATTGAAGTAGATTTTCTATATGAACAAAATAAAATTCAAATCGATTTATATCTAAATATAAATCGATTTTGTAAATTTAAAATCACTAAGAAATTATTAATTATATTAGTACTATATCCATTATTATATGAGTATAGTTATATTATTGTAATTACTTTCCTCTTTTCTTTTTACAATAATCTTCCATTTTGTAACATGAACATGACATAATTATATCCTTTAAATAAAAAAAAAACATAATTGTTTCTGTTCAAATTAAGTAATTAATTAAGTAATCAATATATATATATATATATATATATATATATATATATATATATATATATATATATATATATATATATATATATATATATATATATATATATATAAAATAAACGGTAAACATTGTGACCTTTCCTTTTTTGAAATCAATAAAAACTAGTTACTCACGTCAGCTAAATGCCCCAAACTGGTACCGAGAGCCACAACTGGTATTTCATGGCCATCATTTAGTTTGTGTGTCAGCGTCGTCGCATGAACCTAAGCAAAAAAATCAGAAGGTAAAATGGTTAAATAGCATGTATACTATATTTGATAGAATAGTATATATTATACTATATATTATAAACTATTCTACTAATACTATAAATGCGAAAGTGAGTTTGTTTATTTGTTTATTATCTCTTAGCGCCTTAATCATAATCACCATGAAATTTGGTATACACATATTACATGGAATGGAGAAGGGCATGGGCTACTTTTTATTCTGGTCACCGAAAATTTCCTTGTCACGGGAATTAAGTCGTAAAAGCCAGTGTTATAAATGCGAAAGTTGGATAATTGTGTGTTTAGATGAATTAAATAAATAAAATTAAATGTTATTCAATTACTCTGAAAGAGCTAAACAGATTAGGATGAAGATAATATTCATCCTAATCACATCAGTCTTCGATTTAATCTTAAAATTAATGCCGGCGATACAAGATTTATAATGCGCTTTTTCATAAACTATAAGATACGTATAAGTATGATTTTAAATAACTGTAACTCTCCACTCCAAGTACTTTCAGAACACGTCAACTCCTTCCCCTTCAAGAAGCCAACATGTTTCATATGTTAAGTATCCTGTCACCTTTTACCAGAAACGTCACTGACACTGACAGCGGCAAATTGCGGAAGTGTCTTAAACTTGAAAGCGTAACAAATAGATTATTTTAAATATTTTAAAAAATATTTCATTTTTATTGTCGCATCTGAACGGAGGTAAATATTTAATCAAAATTTAAAATAGTATAATATTTTAATAAACTGCGTTCCAACGGTTGCGAATTCGATCCCCGCTGTATATAAACATTTGTGTTCATGAGTATTTTTGTATTTGTCTGGACGCTTTTTAGGTATTAAATAAACAATAATTAAATGGTTACCTTTCTACATAGATGTTTATCGAGAGTTTTTGTTTGAAAAAATTGCCAGAGACAATTTTGATAACTTTAATTAAAGTGTTAACACATGTATGTACAAATGTTCATAAACACCGTATGCTTACCAATTTAATACTTCTTCTGTAATTTAAACATAATGAAATGATAATTACATTATACCTTCATATTATACTAGCTTTTACCCGCGGTGTTGCCTACCTATATAAAGTATCCGATATGTTAGGTTAATGTGTGTATCATTTGAATTTATTATTATTTATTTTTAGCGTAACTGAGTAACAAACGTCCAAATATCTTTACCAACTTACTTAATATATGTAATACTAGAGCGCGATCATAAAGGACTATTATAATACTCATAGCAGAAGAACTATTGCGCAGTATCATGGTCGGGTCATGTCCATATTGTTTTGACCGAGTCATAGTTCAACTATTTAAACAATTATACAAATAATTTCTTTCATTTGAATCTTATTGTCAAGGTTAATTATTCTAGCCGTCCAGGAACGAAGTTGGTAAAAAAATCTCCCCTTTCCTCATGTCTAATTCATGATGATAAAAATACTACCATCTTACGTCCAGTAGTAGTATACAGACCCTTCTTTACCATTAATTTTAGAACATATAAAAGTATGTATATAAATATGTTTAACCACGTTTTATTTTTATTGATAAAAATGGAATGGTAACCCCGCCTGCGCTAACGGGATACGCTGGCGGAGCACCAGTGAAGGGTGATAGATGAGAATGAAAATAGGCCAGTTATCATCATCATGATGAATTCATCAGGAATTAACCATGATAGTTTCCAGGGGGAACCGCGAGGAGGTCGACCTAGTTAGGTATATTGCTAGCAATATGATTCTCAGTCTCCATCACTAACAATCCCTTTCCCCCCATGTTTAACCATGTTTCATACGTTCCATTACACGGTAAGGTATAGTATATCATGAAACGTCCTTTAATCTTTTTAAGCGCGCGTTAGTACGCGGGATAAATTCTATAGACTATAAGCACCCCGGTATTATTCTTTTATACAAAACTAGCTATTTCCCGCGGCTTAGCGGCTTTCAAAACCCGTTATCTCCGGTTCCCCTTGAAAATATAACCTATATTACTCAGGGATATTGTACCTTTATAAAGGTGAAAGAATTTTTAGAGTCGATTTAGTATTCTTTGTGATTTCCCTTATATATTTACTAGAAGCAAGTAATTAATTCAATGTTATTATTAATTATTAAGTATATTAAAGTATTATATTTAGTATATTAAACTACAATGTAATATATTATTTTATTTTTATTTATTATCAATCCTACAATAATTTTTACGTCGGTATTGAAATATATATACACATATATTTCAATATATGTATATATATTTTTTAATTAATACTAACTTCAATAAAGATAAAATCGGTATACAACCAAAACTAAAATAAATCTATTGATTGCAAAAATAATAAAATACGGAAATATAAATGTAAAAAACTCAGTTAAATTTAGAATCTCTTGTATTTTTTACGTGAATGTTGTTCATTTTTTTCTATAATCCGTTTGTCTATCATGTATTTTGAACAATAATCACGCAATAAATAAAGGTTTATTTATACATGAATAATGACTATGTCGAATGGATGAATTATAAAAGAATCTATACAAAAAAAAATAATTAAAAAACCATAAAACGCTTTATTGATATGATTATTATGAGATTTGTTTCTGTTACAGCATGAATTTTCTGCTTATTTATAGCCAATGAAACCGAGTATTGATTGGTCGGATATCCGCCCACGGCTCCATATCCGTATTCCGTCTAATAAAACTGGTTTTATTCGATACTTGGATTGTTATAGCTTTGATTTGTATTTAAAAAATCTCTCATATTATACTTATTACTTCTTCTTAATATTTAAGAGCGTTCATGCCGAAACCTACTGATATGTTTTACTATTATAATAAAATTGTAATTGGACGATGTCTGTACATGGGAGATATTTAAGAAAAATTACCATGAGGGGTCTTAATAAAACTAATAGAAGCCAAAACAATATTTTTTAAAAGTTTCGTCTATCCATCTAATTATATGTTTCGATATTACGAAAAAACTACAGCACCAAGCTGGATGCATTTTTGACAGTTGTGTTCCTGAAAGTCTAAATTAAAATCTGGTGTGTTATTTCATGTTGGTATGCCATCTAGAAGTAGGCTATTTAGAAGTAGTCTATTTCATTGGTATTCTTACTTCGGAATAAACATTTATAACTGTATCAAATACAAATAATTTTCAATATTTCTGATTATTAAAAAAGTGCTCTGATAGCGAACAAAAATGTCAACCATACAATCTATGATTCAAGACATCCCTAATTCTTAAATTATTTCTGCTGCTACTTTTTGCTGTCATCTTAATATATCGTTTACTTTTTAATTCGCTATGAGTGTAATTTTCAAACTATTGTCAATCATAACAATGAAAATTGGTTAATGTTTTATTATAAATTGACAGTTAATTCTGTCGTTACTTCAATTCGGTGTGAACACTTTTAAAAACATTTGTTGTCAGTTAGAGCTGTTTAGATCTCACTGTAAACTGTGATAACAACATGACCAAAGGGCTTTACTATCTGTATTTAATTGACCTTGTGTTAAAAGGTATATGGAAGAATCCCATCTCCTAGTAAGAGTCTGTATTTGAAATCTTTCCTCGTCAATAATTAATTCTTTATCACTAATAGGTAATTATAATTACCTATCAGTGACTAAATCATTTCCCTCAATTTAATCTTTACATATTTAATAGCTATTTTGTATAAAAAAAAAAACATAAAAAAATATGGCTGTGTTACAGTTTAAAAGATAGAATATTGCAGTGAAATTACTGAGTACGGAAAAATAAGATCATAATCTTCAAGTAATTTGTAGTGTTCTTGATGCTATTAGATTACTATAGAAACAATAATTACTTTCCTCCAGGTGAGCCCTTAACCCCTATACAGGTATCATAAAATTATATTTTTAAATAAGCTTCTTATTTCAGTTTACCTTTTATATATGTGTGTATATTTAGTTCTGTAATAATATTATTATGATTGAAGTCACAATTTTTTGTACAGCAAAACCTTAAATCTGCCTAAACACAATTTAACTGCTGATGCACTTAAATTATGCACTATATAACTGCGTTAGTGTAATTCTCTTATTATAAGTATTTTGATTGTCTAGATTGATTTAGTTTCTAGCATCAAGGTTTAAGACTGCCTTCGTCTCTATGATTTGACGAAAATGGCCTAATATAATATATATAATATAAATAATATAATATTTTCTAATTGCTGAATTATTTTATTATTCATATTTAGTTAAGCATAAAAATCTTCATGATTACCTGAGTAGTTTTTGCATGGAGTTTTAATAACATTAAATTATTTAAATTTTTGTTTATATTTCTATATCCGTAATTAGGTAACTCGTATACAATGTATTAAGGATACATTAGAAAAAAAAAGTATATATAATAACTATAAAACTGGGAATAAAGAATAATTTAACAATATTAATCATAATTTGTAATTATAATTTCCACAAATGAGAAATCCCCGGGCCTTTACGTCTTTTTCATAAGATTAAAAAAGAGACAAAATCTCTACAGGTAAGCAATCCTAATTATGAATAAAGCTGTTCCGACAAAAATGTTTTATCAAAAATTTACGACGCAACGAGTTATACAAATATTTTTTTATGTAACTTTTCTTATTACGATGTTTTTAAATTCGACGTTGCCAAACAAAATATAAAATTTCTTTTATACACAGCTAGTTATATCCCGAGATTTTTACATTCATTAGAGCAAAAAGTATCCCAGTGAATCTAGGATATGTTTTATTAGTGTACCCAATTCCATTCAAATCTATTCAGTTGTTGAAATATGATAGAGTAACAAACGCCCAATTACTTTTACAAACTATCATAAAACTCGATTGGTGTATTTTTTATACATATTTATCATTATCATCATATCAGTCGTTATTTATATACTGCTGAATATAGGTCTCCCGTACACTGTCATAAATAACAGTTCTAAGCCACCTGCATCCACTGACTCCCTACAATGTATTTGAGGTCGTCACTCCATCTAGTTGGGTCGTTCTAAAGTGCGTTTGTCCATACAGAATCGCCACCTAATAACCTATCTTCCCCATCGATTATCGGTTTTTTTGAGCTATATGACCAGCCAATTCACTTCAGCTTGTTAATCCCATTATACAATTATTTTTATATTAATTCATAATAAAAATTAAAAACATTAATACAAAATAATAATCCCATAAAATATGTGCATAAAATACCTATAGCTGCACAAGAAAATTATTTTGTAACGTTGGAACGGATATTGAGAAATATATTTTTAAAATATTTTATGTCATTTTATTATGGTACTCGTAAGAAGAATACGAGATAAATTAGTTAGTAGGCATTTCATATATTTTCTCATTACGCAATTTAATGTACACTTCGACGAGATTAATAAATGAATATTTAAATACCAATATTAAAAGAAAACGATGGAAATAAATAAAAAAATATTTCTACTCAAATTTAATACCTAAGTCTATTATATATATAATTTTAACTTTATTGCACTAAAACATACAGTAACAACAATGAGTGAGTGGGCAGTAGTAGTACAAAACAGAAATTAAAATAAATATTTACATAACAATATATTTAATAACAATAATAATTTGTTTCGAAACTTATTATCTTGATTAAATTCTTACCTGAACATGGTACAATGAAATAAATAATACAAGCTTCAGCGAATTGTAACTACGTCCACTACACATGATTCCACATAACTCTATGTTGTTACATCACACATAAATTACAATAAAAATCTCTGTTTATAACATGTGCTATTTGTAATGCAATACCAATGACTAAAATCACTGTTATGTGTCTGTATGGAAGCTAAAATATGAATGTAAGCAAAACATAAAAAATCATTATATATAAAGTGATATCATTATATGTAATGATGCTGATTGTTGGCACTTGGTGGAGTTTCATGTTTACATTTATTGTAGAAAAAAAAACGCGTATACCACAAATATATTTTTATAATACCTGACCAGTTTCGCCTTATGTTATTCTCTTTATATATACGTATTTTCCTTAACAGACAGCATGTATTCTAATATAGGAATTCTTTTATATTTTAATCAAAATTGGAGGAAGGGAACGACATTTTTAAATTGGCTCGGATCTGAGTGTTCTCACTTGTGTCCCACATATTCGTTGTCGATTTCTCGAGACCTTATCTTTACCAGTAGATAATTAATTGTATTTACATATCATGACAATTGTATCTACATATCAATTCGTCAAAATTATCTCAAAAATTGAAGCAAGTTTTTTATAGTTAATAATTTTGTGAAATAATTTTATTCGATAATATTTATTAATTGTAAATTAGAAATATTATTAATACAAAAAATTTAAAAAAGTCACAATTTTTCAAATTATTGTTTTTAATTAATATCATTTTCATATTTATTATTATTTCTATAATCAATTACAATTAATAAATTTCTAAGTCTAATTATAATTAAATACTTACAATTAAATTTAAATATTTTAAAGCGCAATTCATTAGTAATATTGGTTTATTTTTGTAATTATGAGTAGATATATTTTTTCATTGAATATATACAATATTAATTTTTATTGTCTTAAAGGATTAAATAAGTACATAAACGTACAGCATTCTACTGAACTTTAAGTTTTGGAAATTTACCTCTTTATTCCAAATAAACAAAATGTCTTCAATATTTGCAAAACCAGCGCACTACCAACAGCGTATTTTAGTGAGCACTTCAATATCATAGGATAAAAATGGAAATAAGTGCTTTATCATGTTGTTACGTCAGCCACACATCAATTAACGTGACATAATTATCAAAGAGCTATACTAAACATTAACTCACACGTGATATACTGTTAATAATTTTGGTAAAGTAAACCCTATAAATAAAACGTAATGACACCAGCGTACAGATATGTAACGGCCCCTTTAAAATGTCTCCCTTTGTGTCGGAAGATAAACTGCTGCGTCTCTCGGGATTTGTTCAGCACGTGAACTTAAAGACACGTTTAATAAAAAACCGGGTCATACGAATGTCGTTCATGATGCAGAGGGTGCCTCGTAAAAACCCTATTTCCCAATCTTCAGATTCCACATCAACACCCACGTATGTTTCTTTTTCGAGTATTCTTTTTAATCAAACTATAGGTACCTACTACAGAGTTAGCTTTTGCTTCGAATAATATTTTTTGTTTGTCAAAGTTGACATAGTGATTTCGAAGTTTTATTTGTTTACCGATACCTTTGAAGTTCTCGCTGTTTGGTGCTTTCGTTGCTACGTAAACATGTCGTACTACAGTTTAGTAATTGCAAGTAGTATGGATGAAAATTTATTTGGATAGGTAGACAGTTGTTTTCAAAATTATTTAGTTTCTAAATGGTATAAATAAGTATTTTTAATAAAAGAGTGCACAATTTATACAGCATTGTAAACGTTGTATCTAGTTACTGAGCTACATTTATTTGCAAAAGAAATATCAGAATCAAATTGTTTTATAGATTTACACTGCATTTATGTGGAAAATCTATTTGTGTATCCCATACTCTCTTCAATTTCACTAGACGCAGTATAAAAGACATATATGTCTTTTATATCTCCAAGCACCTTGTCTTATTTGAATTTCATGAATATCAGACAAGATATAGGTGTATGTGGTTTGTGAATAGAACCAAGTTTACCATTCATGGTACCTCGCTAGAGTATGCTATAAATACTGCGATTTTAACCCAGTATAGTACCCGTACGTAGCAGGCATATAATAAATTATTACACGTGGTACGTAGACCCTTCGCGTGGTTAAGCTCCAAGGTATTGGACGTTAATGTATCGACTGCGCAGGGGAGGGGCATTATTCTGTTTTACACAACTAAACTATCAAATCTTGACCTCTCATTCCCTCCGCTCAGCTTGTGTAAACTAAACTGATATGCCGGAATGTATTGTTCCCCTGGGATCTTGTTAAATTGGACATACTTCGTAGTAAATCTCTCGATACAAGTACATCTTTGCCTTTTGTTAATTCTCGGCCTAAAGTAACTGTGTTTTAAGTTAGTTAGACTCTATTATAATATATTGTTTTAAGGAGCAGATACAAATCGACCTTATTAATATAATGTAGTAATATTAATTACTCATGCAACAGAAAATATAGTTTTGTTTTTATGATTATTACAACTGACTATGATGAGCCAGTCAGTTAAGCACGCCAACCAAATAACTATAGAAAACATAACTGTTACTAAAAAAAATTCAAGTATAAATTCAAACAGCTTCTCTAAATTTTTTAATCTACTATACAAGTTTAGAGAGTTATTTACTATTAACATCTATACCAAATTTTAATCAGCTAATAACTCTTTTGATATTAATATTGTTGACACATACATAAACAGATGAAAATGCAAGTGTGATTATTTTGTAATGTTTAACTATAGCTTAGGTGACAAACCCATTATGATTTAAATTAATAAAGAGGTATTCTTAGAAGTAACCCAGGATATATTGTATATGTATAAAGGATATGACGTCATTATATCAAGCGGATATAGTCTTTATTCGTGGCATAATTTTTCATTAAATATTTTAATTACTATTTATTATAAATAACTAATAATCAAGCCACCATTGCATTTGTAAGATTTACTTACGTAAATATCTTATGTAAGTGTTATTAGTTACTTACTAATCTATCGATTATCAATAAATTACTAATTTAGAAGATTGTTTACATTTGCAAATTTATCATAAGTTAATTAACTATACATGTGAGTAAAATTAATAAATAACAATGTGACCTTAAACATAAAACTATTATTGATAAAACACGTTCAAGTGATATCTAATTACGAAAAGAAATATTTCCGTAAAGTATAATGATATGTATAATTAATCTAAAATATAACAAATAAAAGATAACAAAATATGTGTAACTCAATATAAAAATATATCTATAGCCATATTTAAATTTTGCTTAATTTGATAATAACTAAGACTCCTACCACACTTACTGTTAAATTGACTGCATTAGTGCAGTAGTTTTTACGTGATACAAATCAAATATTCAGTCATAGAAAAATCTAAATATTGTTTTGTCTTGTATTGCTATTATTATTTTTTCTTAAATATTTCTTATATAGTAACCTCATATAGTTACAATATTATTATATTAGTAGGATTTTAAAATATCGCTTGTACTAGATAGTTATACTAATATATATAGATTATGGCAGAGAACAAAATTGTTCATCATAACGTTATTCTAACCCAAATATGGTGAGCATTATTGCCGTTTCGGTGATCATAACACTTGAGTTACCTAGATTTCTTCGGGCACACTGAGAAGATAATCAAAGACGTTCGAAAATATTTCTCCTATACCTATAAGTATTGTTTAAAAATTGAAGAGTAATAAAAACTAATATAATAAAACCAATATATTTATTACATAGATTATAATAATAATATAATTACCTAAAAACATTATATAGGTTAGCTTAAAAGGTTATATACAGTAGATATTGGATTTCATAATATTGTAATTGACATTATCATTCGATTGAAGAAAGTTTCATTTCTTATATTATATGAAATTGGATGTCTGGTCATTATTGTATTTACTAAATATACTATTTCAATACACCGTATTCATGAGTGTATTTGTTTGTATTGGTCTGTGTATTTTCTAGTATAATATGTATATTTTTTTTTCACAACACCAACGGCATTGCAGGTGTGCTGCCGGTCTTTTAAAAAGGAGTATACTCTTTTCTTGAAGGTTATGTTGTCGTATCGGTTCGGAAATACTGCTGCTGGAAGTTGATTCCAAAGAATGGTTGTGCGTGGAAGAAAGTGCCTTGAAAAACGCACGGTGGAAGACCGCCGACAATTTGTATAATCCGGTATTCAATACAATACCTAGGCAATGTATAAACTATATGTACATAGTATAAGCACTGCTTAGTTTGAAATTAAATGGTGCTGAGTAATGTGTGGAATGATATTTATCAAGTTACATTATTAAATTATTAATAATTACTGTACGTGAAATGGAAAAGACTTCTATCTGTTCTTGATTACTTCGTAATTCATGTATAAGTTTTGATGTCTTCTCTGGATGTTGAGTAATTTATAATCCATTAGATACTAGGTACGATTATAATTTAACGTGATTGCGTGTAGTATGAGTAAATAAGTCATTAGTGGCTGAGCGAACGAGTCTCGTCGGCGAAATTGAATTTTCCCAGAAATAACACTTACCTAGACCGATTTATTATCCTCAAAAACCTCCCACAGGCTTTGAAATAGTGAAGGTAGGTGTATTAAAAAAAAACTAAAAAGACAGTATTTTATTGAAATATATATAAAGTATTCCTTCTTTAAAAATTATGACCTTGATTTTATAGGTACAGTAATTCAATGATTACTTAGATATTACTCAATATATACATATATTTATCATCTTTACAAACTTTAACATTTATGATTTTAGTTGAAGGTTGGATAAATCAATGTACTATTATTATATTTAATATAATATTCTGTAGGTTATGCTCGGTTTGCCATCTTTAAAATAAATATTGGCAATACGAATACTGTTTATATTTTTATTATATTTTCTTAAACAAATTAACCAAGTAACAAAGACCTCTACGTTCAACGCTACTTCATAATTTGGAGAGGTCTCATGATTTAATCTATTGATTGTAATAAAATGTATATAAATTTTTAATTTAGCCTAACACCTACTCAAATGTAAAATTTTATTACAATTAGGCTGACGAACATCAATTCTATAAATGCCTGATTTGTGTTTCATTGTGTATATCTCATCTCCCTAATTAATTGGTTGTCTGGAAGA